TTCACCAGTGCTGAGTTAACACTGGACTTTCACATGCAGATTTGACTTCCTTCAATGAGAACACATGCCATGCAGTCACATTCTGATTTTGCTTCTGACAGTGTAAATTACCAGAACTGAAGGTAATCCTTGCTAAAAAATAGTGTCTGGCAAGAATATGATTCTACTTGCAAAAATTAAAATTTGAATAAAGACCAAAGCATGTTGTTAATAATCTTCTCAAAGGTAAAGAAAACTCCAGCATGCCTAAATATAAGCAGAGCAGCAATTTTAAATACCTTATATGTAGTAAAATGTTCAATAACAATTTTAGTGTTAAAAATGTAATGATTTATCAGACTAATTCAGGTACTTTTCAATACTTAAATTCACATAATTTTTGTTCAAATGATAAATATGCACAAATATGATACTTCAAAATTTATAATAGTAGAAAGAATATTAAACTTTCTGGTACAAATACTTTACCTCAAAAAATAAAAACAGGGAAGAAAGGTCAGCAACACCTAACTGTTTTTTTCAAAGAAATAATAAATACAAACATTCTGCACAATAGTACAGTAGTAGCAGATGTGATGTTATCAGGATTTGACAGTATTTTCACATAAATTATTTTGTAAGCATAGTTAATAATTATGTACAGGTGGTCAGCCACCTGTTTAATTCAGTTTCAAGCTGATTTACACAGCTTTTAAGGTAAACAATCCCCCTCCCTCCAAAATTACAGTTTTGCCTGTGTATCAACTAATGTGGACAATTTTATTTCCCTTCACTTCCCACCACCCTGAAAAAACACAGGGAGAAAGTTGCAGTTCTATTCCCTCTTTACAGCCTGGTTTTTGCTGCCAAGTTGTAAGAAGTGCCATTATACAGGTAGTAACAGATGGTTCCAGCCCCTCCAAAATGAATTTTTACTTGCTATGTGAACAGTGGTGATCTCATCACTTGTGATTCTCCATTGTGTCTCCAGCTCCGTGTTTCTGGTAGTACACTGTGAACTGTGAGAACGACCAGCCCCACTTGACAAGCAAAAACTCCTCTTCTGCAGGCCTTATACAACCCCAATACTTATAACATAAAAATCCTGGTTATTGCTTGGGTAGCACATGGAAGTTGTGTAAGAAATGCTTACAGCTTTGCAGAAAGGTAAAAATAAAGAAGAAAGTTCAGCATGCCTGCAGGTTTGGATCCCAGCATCAACATGAGTTCAGTGCATAGTTAGGCTTGTGCTAATATGTGAGAGGAAATTATTTTTCACCCTACATTTGGACAGATTAGATCTGCATTTCAGTCTATTTTTTTCATATTGTTATCTGATTGAACCTGTATTGTCCCCTGGAATAGTTTAGCACTGTCACTGACCCTCCTTGTTTTGTTAGGGTTTTTTGTTCTTTTTTTAGTATTCTTTTCCTTAACTTGAGGTAAAGGTAAAAAATGGATAAACAGGCCATGTTCCTAACAGGTATACTGAAATCTATCAAAATATCCAGAGAACTGTTAATATTATTAAGCCTCTTCTGAATTGATTACTACATATCCCCTATTTGTTTTAGGGCTATCAGCAGTCTTTTTAACTTGTGCCCTGAGTTCAAGGGAGAGCTGGGAAGCACATTTCAGGGCTACAGGAGAGATCCACATTCTACAATGTACCTCAACCTCTACTTTATCTCAGCAGCACATTTTTAATTTATTGCCATCATCTCTATTTGTTGCCATTACTCAAACTCATCCCTGCATTTACCAGCTCAGGTGGCTGCAGCTTGCCCATCCTTGAAGCTGGTCTTCACAGTTCACTTGATGGTGAGGACTTCAAAGGGCCAAAATATTCCACTTCTTTTCATCTCTGAAATCTTCCTCTGGCATTGAAATGAAAAATATAAAACTGTCAACAAAAGGAGAGTCAAGGCACATTTTCCCTGCTCCCTTATCCAATTTAAAAATCTGCTGAGGTAGGCAAGATAAAAATGCAACTTCTTAAAGATTGTGAAAGCTTTTTTTTTTTGCTGTGGGTCTCTATTAACATGTAACAGAAGCTGAGTCCTTCCTTTAGAGTTGGATGTTGCACTGCTGACATAGACTAAGAGAAAGAAAAAAGTATCCATCTGTTGATTTAATACAGATATGGAAAGAAAAAACCCACATTTGCTATTCAGTTTTATAACACTGGCCCACATGTGGATGGTGCTGGTGTGGGGTCTTTGGGGAACAGAGTAAAGCTGTGACCATTTGCAATATAATGCTGTTTGGACATGAGCTTTACCTCTCTGCCCACCATCCAAACTACCTGTGTGGCTGGGAGCTGGCAGGGAAAGCACAAGTCTCTCACAATAGGGAAAGAATTTGACAGAAACATGAAATTAAGTGGTTGACAGAATTACAGGAATTACAGAACTACAGAAGTTTTAGTATTCCTCATTAAGGTTATGGGGTAGGAATAGGGACAACATATGATTAAGGAATACATCCAGTGCCTGAATGATGGGCTGATCTAAAAGGCTTTTGCTGATGCAAAGTGGTGAATGAGTGGTGGTGACAAGTACATTTGTCTTCTGTTTGCTTGTTTAGTTTCCTGGAGGGTCCCTAAGGGTTAAGTCTGCCTGATATTTTAAGAGTTCATTCAGAATTCTTCATCTCCATGTATCCGAGAGCAGATATTGGTTGTCACCTGGAGTTTTGGGCTTATTCCCCAGGAAAGTGTTAATAGCATCAATTCATTTGCATGGGATTGAACAAAGGTGGAATTTTACTTGAGTGCTTTGCTGTTTTGCAAAGAGTCTGAAATGAATTTTCATGGTTAGAATTGGATGTAAGCACCTTAGGTTAGTGTATAGGTAAGAGGTTGCCTATTTTATTGCAAGCTGTTAGCCCTGTAGAGAGGGTACAAGATTTGTTTGATTGTACCTGACTATCATCTTAATGTGTCGTTTACCTTACTGCTTCTCCATCACTGCTCCCTGTCCAAATATTAGCAGGTGTGTTTATGCAATTATAAATACAGCACCGCAGATGATGTTCATGGCAGTGGTCACTTAATGAGGGAACTTATTTAATTGAAATAATGAATCTGAGTAAGTTCCTACTCTGATGCGATCTGACAAAAATGATCATAGGATAAAATTGCTGCTTGCTGATCCCCACCTATCTTACATCTCAACTTGCTGCAAGATTGAGGCAAACTGCACCAATTTACTGCTCCCAACTGCCTGATAATGGACACTTTGCTGTGCACTCTCCCTTCATTACAGCACAGGTCATGGCTGTTAACAGGGCTCTTGCCACTTTTGACAGATAGTCACTACCAAGATGAATGGCACTAGCCACATGACCACTTAGTACTATGCTTTTCCTCTCTAGCACCTTTAAAGCACTTATATTTTTTAAAAACTCACTTCATCCTTTAACTGTTTATTAACTAGGAGAATCAATAGGAATCTGCTGAAACTGAACTCATGCAATTCTTCTAAACTTAATTGGGCGCATCACTATGAATACATCTGGGCATTTGTTGAATGCCAGTAGTGAAAGATTCATTTAAGCATTTATTTTAAATTCCTTAAGGACTTTCAGACAATTTGCTCAGATTTTCTGTGTGTACTCTAGTGCCAGGTTTTACAACTGTTAAAGGTGTAAGAGCTGCAAAGACTGAATCATAATACTAGTTACCAAATTTCTGGCCATTTTAATGAAAATATTTGTGCTTGAATTTATTGCTTCTTGAAATGCAAAGTATTTATATTTTTCATATTTCCTATGTCTGCTTTTAACACTGTCATCCTAAATATTATCAAATTTCTTTTTAGCAAATTTTTGTTTTTATAAAAAACATGGGAAAGCATACTTTAAACATGCAGATGCCAAGCATTTAACAATTAAGTTGCTTAGGTGCATTCAGTTGGCTAAGAAAGATTGTTTCTGAGACAGTTCAAGGCACAGTCGGTATTTTTGGTTAACTCACTGCATTACATGACAAATCAGTATACAGCATTTATTTTCAAAAACAGTAGGAGTGATTAGACAGAGAAAGTTTTTTAATAACATGTATGCCTGTGATTTTTTTGCTAATGCTAATTTTTATTGAAATTTCCCAGAATTCATAGTTATGGAAATAGAAAATTTGTTCTTTGTATCAACCTGGCATGGAGTGGGCCAGGGCTAGAAGCTAACAGAAGAGTGATCAGCCAAAACAGGAATTTTATGGTGAAGATCCTACAAAATCTGAAAGTTTTCATGGTTGTGATCATAGAGGGAAAGGACTTTCTTGAACCCAAAGCATCAGTTTGTTGGTAAGCATATGAGAGGTAATGGTGTGCCAGGAATATCAAGCTGCTTTTTAACACCCAGATACAAAAAAATTGGTGAAACTTAGATTTTATTACAATTCTCATGGGAATTCTCTGACCAGCTTTAGGTTACTGCACCTATGAGCACTGTTTTAAGCAGTAGCAAACAAGAAACTACACCTAATTTGCACACATATGTTGATGAGCCTTGAATGAATTGAGAAGCACTCAGTTCCTTTAGGCTTTTTGGCAGATGGATGGAAAACAGGCAGGTACGTGAGAGAAGACCAATGCATTATGCAATTTGACAATAATTTTTTTCTTTTTGTGATATCTGTTTTCATCTTTGTTCAGCCTATGTATGTATCTCTGTCTTCCTATTTTCTGTTGTGCTTCCTCCTGTACAACTAGAGTTGAAATAGAGTTGAGACCCCAAAAAGAACATACTGTTACAATTGTGCAGCCAAGGAGAGGAAGCTCTTCTTTTTTTTTCTTCTTCTCTCCTTTCTCCAAATTTGAAGGAATAAAAAGAAGGCTGGGAATTTAAGGTTCTCTTTTATTACCTTAATTCAAGGTATAAAAGTAAAGTTTTGTGACTGCATGTCCAAGAGCCAACTTCACTGTAAATTTCTTTCTTTCCTTCACACACAGCAGGCAGTGGTTGCTTGGATGACAAAAGTGGGTATAGAGGAGAATACTCACAAACTATGGTGACAAGCACTGCTAGGAAGTCCTTTCAGCATGAAAGGTGAATACTGCTCTCTCCTGTCCAGATCTGAAGTTCCAGAATGATGTCCAGAACCTGCTTCTTCCATCTTCGTGTTCCACGTGCCAAAACTGCTGCTTGATCTTCAAAGGGGAGGCGAGGTTCTTCTGTTTTTGGTAGAATGTGTGGAGAATCAGTATCTTCTATCCCTTCGGCACAGATGGCTAGTGGATTTTCACACCCTGCCCTGTCAGCTTCTTCATCTCCTGTGCTGGCCTGTGTACCTCAAATCCCAACTGCTGGTAAAGGAGAGAGGGATGGGAACTCATGTGCTATAGGCCAGACCACATTTTATAGCTTGAATTATACTCAACAATTATACACTCAACAGACTTTTTCTTCAGACTATAAACAAGAAAATTCACCCACGATTTTGTGATTCATAGAATCATAGAATGGTTTGGGTTGGAAGGAACCTTAAAGACCATGTAGATCCAGCCCTCCTGCCATAAGCAAGGACACCTTCCACTAGAACAGTTTGCTCAAATCCCATTCCTTTGGCATTGATTCCTTCATATTTTGTTGTTAAGAGAAAATCACTTTCAGTGTTCCTAAAGTGTTTTTAATATTTTTTTCTTATATTAACACAAGGAGGTGTGATGTTCCTTGATTCTATAGGTTACTACAGTGTCACTACCAAGAGAGACTATTGCTCTGAACGCAGACCTGTATCCATGGCAACATGTATTTTTCAACATGCATATTTTCAAACATATGAAAGGACAACCCCTTTATAAAATATTTGTGCTTCAACATAATCGTGTGTCTTGTGACACATCAGCTGAGATGGCCATGATCTCCCTGCGGGTGCTGCACGCTCCGTCTGTTGCGCACAGCCACCCAGAGCTGCCATTTTGCATGTCAAGGCCTCACATTTGTTCTTTCCTGTTTTGTTTTTCTCCTTAACCTGAAATAAATACCACTCAGATGGAAAGCACGTGACTGCTCTGTGTGCATGGAAAAATAACCATAACAATTATTATGGCTTCGATTAACAGCAAGAGTGACCTGGGGGTCGGGCATTTCTCCAGCGTGAATGACCGCATGGGTTAAGGGCCCCTGCTCGACGTTGGGTCCTCAACTCTTTCAGCTGGTCATTAAAAAGCAGAAATGCCAGCTCTCAGGGCCATTATTGATTAATTAATGCAAACTATAAAACAATTTTCACGTAGTTTCGGTCTTTAAAATCTCCATCAATTGCATAGCAACTCTGAATTGAAAAAATTCATGGAAACATTATTTTGTATTATTTATTAATTTGCCTGCTTAATATGAATACATAATTAATGATACAGAATGATTTTAGGGAAAGATCTAATAGAAATAATTACACTGAACTCACAGGCTTTCAGGGTTACAAGAAACTGTCACTCAGTTTACAGACAATTAATGTTTTTCACTCTGTGTAATTCTTGATCATTTCACTATGCTTTGCTCTTGACAAACAGTCAAATTATGTGATTACAATTGCTATTAGATTTACATTGCATTGTCTAATTCACTTTGCCTCATGAAATTAGATGAATTATTAAACACATAATCTGTTATTCCCTATTAAAATTAATTGATTTTCATGTCAGCTAAAACTAATGAATTGTCTAGGGATATTCTCATAAACCTCATCAAATAACAGAAATATTGTTTTATTTCTCATCATTTATGATGATGATCTTTAGAATATAATACCCCTGTGCTTTCCTACATGAGTAAATATATACAGGTTTTTCAGCAGTTTTCACTGAATGTTTGTAGTTGTTCTACATCCATGGAAAAAA